GCTACTTGGTTCAGAATCAGCAGAGATTTGGATACTTGTTTTCCAACAAGTAGTTGTTTTTCCACAAAATAGCTCACCATACCTAAGCAGTCAAGCTAAAAGACTATAACAAAGCGCTGAGAGGGAGACAACCTACTATTAGGTAATTTTTCTTTTGGTTTTCTTTTACTTTATTAATTCTTTATTGTTTTTCATACTTGCAGGTTTTTATAAAAATAAAAAAACTAAATAAAAATAAAAAATAAAAAATAAAAAATAAAAAATAAAAAATAAAAAATAAAAAATAAAAAATAAAAAATAAAAAATAAAAAATAAAAAATAAAAAATAAAAAATAAAAAATAAAAAATAAAAAATAAAAAATAAAAAATAAAAAATAAAAATAAAAGATCCAAGGAGAAACAGTTGACCATCTCATCGACCGACGAGACCTAGTCGATATCGATCGCCCTGTAACGATCGATTCACCCTTTTACACATCGATCGATTCTTAGTCTGATCAGGTTTATCGTTCTTCCTTGTTCCATTAAATACTTTATGATTTATTTTATTTCGCCATAACTCTGACTGTTTTACATTGGGAACAATGTAATATAAGTCGGGGGGAGGTTCACTGATATTTTATTTTTCTATTGAGTTATGAAAAAAAAATTGTTTTCCAAATTATTTTTACTAAGCTTAAGAAAATGAATGATGATCTTATTTGATTTATACTTGTCATCTAACTACTTTTTAGAACCATTCCAGATATAATGATTACAGATAGTACTACAGATGCTAAAGTGGATCAACCAATCAACTATACACACTTGCTTAGATTGTTTTAAGGAACCAAAACTGACCTCCAACACTAAACATGGCACAACTGCTTGTCTTGGGGCTTGGTATACATCGAATCGGATTCTTCAAATAAGTCTGGAAGGTAAAGGCTTGTATAGATTTACCACATGTTCTCTCTTTATTTTCAACCCTAAATAGTTAAGTAGATTTATAGTTTTATTACTTAAAAAATCCAAAAATAGTACAAAGTTTATTAGGATTTTAGATAGGAGGAATCAGAACAGGACTTGGTGACTACAACCATTAAGGCTTTATTCATAATGATTCCAACAAAAGAATTCGAATGGGACTTGGTGGCTACAACCATTAAGGATCACTTCATATGAATTCTTGGATATAAGTCAAAAAGAAGTGATCAGGACTTCGTGGCAACCACCATTAAGGCTTGTTTCATGGAAGCTTGTCCAATCTTGGTCAATAATCATGCCTTAGAAGCAGATTTAGACTCAAGAGAGAAATTAGAAGAGAGAAAAGATAGGAACTAAATTTTACTTGCAGATCCAGATACTTGTTTGGGAATCCTTGCATCCTGTGATCGATACTCCCAAGGTAGAGCATGCACTTTTATTTTATGTTAAGAAATGAGGTTAGTTGAGGGGAATGTCATATAGTATTTGATAAGTTGATGGCTAGATGAATCAGGTTGCTAAGCTAGGATATGACATAGTGAACTTCTGTGATTAGAACTTCTTAGATGTGGATTGCAACATTATGGAGGTTATGATTCCAAAGTTTTAAATTTGTGAGTCTCTATTTTTTTCAAACCTCTTTCACAGAGACTGCCTATTTGTTTTTGCTTGAGGACAAGCAAAAGAGTAAGTCTGGGAGAGTTTGATATACCATGAATTTGACCCACCTTTATTCATGGTATATTGGTGTTTTTATAACTATTTATTATATTATAGAAGCTTTTAAGCATAGTTATAGGTTCAGAAGTATTTTGGAAGAAAGTGAAGTTTTGGAGCATTTTAGAGAGAATTGGAGAAATCACTCAATTTGGGAATCGACCATGACGACGAGGTCGAATCGGAGTGACTCACGTCGATCGATATGCATTCTGCATAATCGGTCGATGCCGAAGGCGCAGAAGACCAATTCGTGAGACAGCCGGTTTAAAGTCCAAACTTCACCAAAGTACGATTTTACCTCTGACGAGTTCTAACCTAAGTTTATATACTCTGCCAAAATGTTAGAGGCAGAGAAAGAATTTATTGTACTCTTTTCACAGAAAAGGTTTTAGGATTTATAGTTTAGGAGAGAAGATCAACAAAGAGATTTGTGATTGGAACTCCATTGTTGTCTATCTCTATAATTATGCAGTTTTATTACTTTGCTTGTGTTATGAATTGTTTAGCCATGTTTGAGTAATTCACTTGTTAGAATTAGGGTTTAAATAGGTTAGTGGAATTAGCCCCAACTATAGGATCACTTGTTGTGGTATTCATTAATAGGATGCTCTTAATGCTTATGTTCTAGACTTGCTAACTAGAAACCTGAATCTAGGATTGTTAGGTTGTTTAAGCATCCTTAGATAACTCTGATAATCTTGAATACATCCTTATTAAGCTAGGATTTTTACTTAAGAGAAGGCAACCGCTTGATCTAAGGAATCCATAGTGAGTGTAGATTAACTCGCGTGTAACGCTTGAATAGCCACATCGATCGATATTCCCATTGGAAATCGATCGACGTCGAGTAAAGTGTGCCGATCGATATTACTTTATAATAATCGATCGACATTGCTATTGATAAGACATTCTTGTTTGGGTCGATAATATTCTAGTCAATAGATTTATTTATTAAGCGAAAGTTTTGTAAATCTGTTATTAAGATAATTAAGCTCTTTAATACCTTTCGTGACAAAAAAAAAAAAAAAAAAAAAAGCTCTTTAATACCTTGCAACAACTAATTAGCACCTATAGGATTATAATCTTCAACACCTGAATAAAAGCCCTAAGTCTAACACCTTTNACCACCACGTCTAAAATTAATTTAAATTAATTAATTAAAATTCTAAAACTATTGAGGTTTATTGATAATATAGGAATATCAATTTAAAATATAGTATATATTATATAAAACAAGTTTTATATTTAGTATTACTTTATTTAATTTAATCAAATAAAAAAATCTGAGAGTTCAATTTTCAAGAAAATAAAATCATAGAAAGCACCTATAGGATTATAATCTTCAACACCTGAATAAAAGCCCTAAGTCTAACACCTTTCCATTTAAGTTCGCAAAACCCTCATTCCATTCTTGTTGAGTAATTGTCTTGCTCAGTTTGAATATTTCCTATTTTATGTCTACTTTTTTACTGCGATTTTCTATTTATATTTACCTAGTATTATTGCACGATTAGATTTAAGTGGTTCCTTACCTCATTGTGGATTCAATCCCTAAGTACTGCAATAGATCTCTTATTTGAAAGAGTAAATTGCTCTATAGGGTAATTTAAGAACGTATCACTATACTATATTTATAATACAATTGTATATAACAATTGATTGTGGTTGTTGGTACATGAGATGAAGAAGAGAATATACAGTGGAAGAGATGAGGAGACAATGGATGGCGATGGTGGTGGAAGAAATGATGGCTTTGAAAATGAAACAACTGATAGTATTGGTAGTAGTGATGTTATAGGTAGGATAGCAAAAAAAAATGCATATTTTATTACAAATCTATTATATAAGAGTAAAATATAATATAATACAAATGGTTCATCTTCTCTAATCATGTTTACTAACTGACGATGGTGGGGATGGATGTAGCACACGATATTTATGGAGGAGAAGACAATGACTATGATGCAATAATCAGTGGTGATGGATATTACATTGAGGAGGAAAAGGAAACAAAGTGAGAAGAAAAAAGAGTAAAAAGAATATGAGAATAATAAAAAGAAAAGGAGGATGAAAAGTAGGATGAGGCGGGGTTAAAGAAGGAAGAGAAGCAGAAAGAAGAATATAATGAAAATGAAGAAATGAAGTAGAAGAACAAAAAATAAAAGAATACAAGAAAATGGCATTTTTTCTAAGAAGAAGAAAAGCCAAAAAAAAAAAAAAAAAAAAAGAGCATGAAAAGTGAAAAAAAAAAGATGAGAAGCAGAATGAAGAGAAATACAAGGTGGACGAACATTTGTAATCTCTTACTATTAAAATGGCTTATTCTAGCCATATTAGAGTATCCACATATGCACTTTTAATCCACCAATCAGTTTTTATCGTTCAGCCACGTCACTTTAAATACAAACTATTTGGGCTTCGAAATTTGCTGGCCCGTTTGTTGTTTTTTCATTTGTATCCAAGCCCAGCCCTTTATGTTGAAGACATATGGTATCGAGAAACCTAATTTCCACCAAAAAGGATGGTTTCCCCAATTTCTTTCACGCACCCTAATTTGCCTCCAGTCATTGTCGACTTTTGCCCTCCCTCATATGTGTTCAGTTTCTAGACGGATAAGCTAACAATCATCCTTGAGGATGACTGAAAGTATTTCTGTGAGGAGTGGGGAAGAATCGTGGATAAGGGAGTCTCTGCTCTTATTTAGGATGGTAGTAATACGAATCGAAGTGCATCCCAGAACGTTTTTGACCTTGATCAGGATTCTTCTCTTGATGCTAATATGGAGATTGATAATCAGCAGCTTATTATCAAGACAACCCTAGAGGTAACATCTTGAGCTTGTGATATTACATTGGAATTGTAATGTTGGCTTAGCTTTTCGCATGAGGTTCAGATGTGTTACACTATGATTTTTTTTTCCGTAAAAGTAGATTTAATCATTTGTGTTACATTGATTAATCTTTCGAGGTTCATGAGTTGTGTATAATAATACCTTTTAACCTGGGTAGGTTTGTGAGGAATGCATAGGAGATAGGGAGAGCTGTGAGTTGATGCAGAAGCTCACTTATTCTGAAGGAGATGTACAGCCTGGTGCGCGGAAAGGAAGCTCCAAATTCAATGTTAAATGCATCTAACTCGAGCTTTGAGGTGGACTTCAAAGTGTTCTCGGAGAACTAACTATTGGAAGCAGACCAGCCTGAAAGTTTCTGCAACAACAACTGTATACCAGCTAAAAATGATGATATGGAAACTACTTGGGGTAGTAATGCCTTTTAACAATATTTATAGTAGATTGTTATTTTTAATCTATGCAGGATACCCCATTGCTTATCGAGTGTTTAAATTTCAATACCAGTGGGAATCATGAGCTTATTGGGTCACCTTCTACTCTTCGACATGGTCATATACAGATTTATTAGTTACTGACAATTGTACTGATCCTCGCAGGAGAACAGAGAAATCTGTAGCTGAATTAGAGAGACTTTGTCACCAAAGAGAGGCTACAAACTTTGTCTATACAAGTCGCGGTTGCAACAAGGTGCTTACTCCTACTATTTTATGTAAAATCTTCAGGCATTGATATTCTCACAATCTTTGTGCATCTGTTTTTTTTAAAAAAAAAATCTGGGATTCTGTAGGTTTTGAAAGGCCAACTCATCGTGGACATTTTGTGGAAAAAGTGCAATACAGTTTTCTTGATTACATATCCAGCGGCTTTGAGCTTAATTTCATGGTTGCGGTTGACTTCACTGGTGATGCACCTTCTTCTCCTTCATATGCATATATTACCATCTTATAAAAACCTTGAGTTTTAAGATTTGATGATCTGTCTTGCAGCTTCAAATGGTGATCCCTGATGTCCCAGTTCTTTGCACTATACCGATCCATCAGGCAGATTAAACTCATATCAGAAGGTACCAATATTTCGCATGCAATTCTTTTGAGTAATAAGACCCTTGAGCTTCTGCTTTTGATGTAGTAATATCTCATTAATGTTTCTCTCTCTTAATTTATTTCCTTGATCCACAGTACTATAAACATGGTTTCTTTTCCAAGCTATCATGGAAGTAGGAGAGGTCATCCAGTTTTATGATTCTGATAGGAATTTTCCTGTTTGGGGCTTTGGAGGAAGAACATCGGATGGTCACGTGTCCCATGCTTTTAACTTGAATGGAACTTCCTATGGCGATGAGGTAACTTACGAGACAAAAACTGATTATAGTTGGACTGGTGTTTATCATTACAAAATCTACAGAACCATGATAATAAATTGAAACTATATTGTAAAAAGTGTCACTGAGCTTTGTATTCCCTTTTCGCATCTCAGGTTGTTGGAGTTGAAGGAATCATGTCAGCTTATTCCAGTGCTCTTACCAACGTTCCTCTAGAGGGACCAACTCTATTCAACCATATTGTGAAATAATATATAGCAAATTATCTTTCAACCATATCCGAATGAGAGAGAGATTGAGATGGAAATGTTTTCATATCTTCGTTTTATGAAATAGTCGCCACTCTGGTGTCATGTTTTTATTTCAACCATATCCGGGCGTAGCTTATTCCAGTGCTCTTCAAAACCCTTATAGAAACTAACATTAGTTTAATGATCTTGGAACAGACTCAAGAGGCTGTGTTCATCTACAACTCAACCAATGTCGGCGTCCTGCAAATGAAAGGTTGGAAAAGTGTTTCATGCTCTGGATGTAGCTTGAAACTTGACAAACATAATGCTTTCAGCAAACGTGTAGTCCACAGCGTAATCGTTTTGTCAAGTAACTTAACACTACCCTCACCATTTTTTCTCATTTTAAAATAACCACAAATAACAATTCATAACTACATATTTCAGGTCCAGAGTTAAGCTGGATTGATAACACTCTTTTAAATAAATTATTAAGTGCACGTGATGAGGAAGCACATAGTAGCTAAAGAGAAGAAAGATGAAAGAACAGAAAATGGAGATTCACATCAGTGGAGTACTGAAGAAATATTTTTTTTTAATGGTGTTTTTAAAAAATTCTCTCACAAAATTTAATTATGTATGCAGTTTAACAACTGTTAAACCAATGAAAAGAAGGAAAATGGAAAAAAATAATAATAAGAAAAATATTTTAAAACAAACAGGACATAGTCAACAAACATTACAAAAAAATCAAATACGGGAAATGATACGAAGCAAAAATTCAATAAAAGCATTTAATATGACCATTCTACATGTACAGTGAAAACTTCACCCTTCTAGCAGTACAGTAAAAAGTAAACCAGGCAGAAGCATAAGTTCGAAACGATGAGAGAATGTGAAAAGAAAATTAATAAATAACATAAGTGCAGTAGAATTTAGTGAGTTTCACATAGTAAGTCATTACAAATGTACAATTAACACAACCAAACTATCCATAGGAAAGGGGCATAACTTAATGATATTGGAAATATGATCATGTTAAACATATTAAAGAGTAGAGCATTAAAGAAAAAAGTCTATCAAGTGGAGAACAATAAGATCAATGGTTAGAGAGATACATGTAAATGATATAACCGGTTAAAATATCAGATAATGATATGAATATAAACTAATTCTGAATGTAATTACAACTGATGAAAAAAATATAATCGACTCTGACCCCACAAACCTGCGTTACACCATTTTTAACAGAGATATCACCAAGCTTTTGTACAATAATATATTTTATAATTTTGAATTTTTTTTGTATTTTTGTAAATAAAATATTTAGCAGATATACAGAGATATTTTACTGTATTTCAGTTTATGTATCATTGTTTTTGACAATAATAAACATTTTCCTCACAATATACATTTTAATTATTTTATTTCCGTAGTAATGTATTTATATAATTAACACAAAGACCTCAAAACCGTTTACTGCTGACACACAATAAAATAATAAAATAAAATAACACATATATATATATATATATTTAACAATAATAGTGAACGATTAATAAATAATTAACCCAGGCGTAGCCCGGGAAAGCACCTAGTATCTTATAAAAGATTATGTATTAGTTGTTGAAAGACAACAACATAATAAGATGAGATAAATTATGTGTTGCATTGGATCTTGAGTTTTGTCCTTTGAGAATTCTTCTTTTATGTGTCATCAACATACACAAAATCAAGGAGACTTTGTGAACCAATCTGGTAGGTCTGCATCCATATGAACGACGTATGCTTCCTTACACTGCGTGCAAGACTGTTCGTCTGAGTATTCTGCGTTCTTGGTATATTGATGAGCTCAGAGTGAATGAAACTTCTTTTGGAAATCTTGATGTCTTCAAGGTAGCTTGCAAAGGTTGGCCATTCATCGAGTTCTTAAACCATCTTCACCTATAGCGCGCAATCTGTTACAAAATTTACATGAACATGCCTTAAGTTCCTCATGCATTTCATTCCTCATATGAATGCCTCTACCTCCGCATGTAGAGGAGAAAGGCTGCATCTTGCATTTCTAGCTCCCATTAGTCCGTCAAAACCTTCCAGTGTATTGTACCATCCTTGACCTGAGTAGTTGTCAGCCTCTTTCCAAGCTCCATCTATGAAATACCATCTCCCCGGTATCGAAGGCAGCGATGCCTCCACATCTCCCCCATAGGGGGTAGTGTGTGTGAAGTTATGAGTTGAGCTTCAGTCCAAAGTGTAGCTTCAATCTCAACTACCTTAAGGGTATCCGTAGGATCAATATCCAAATTTCTGAAAACCTTACTATTGCGTGCTTTCTAGATATACCATAGTATCCAAACAAAAAAATGGTCGTCCATAGGTGGAGACACGCGCCAAAATAGGTGGTCCCTATTTTTGAAGAGTGAATGAGTGGGGAAAATATTTGGGTTCGATGGTATCCGAGAAAATGCCCAAACTTGTACCGCTGGGGGGCATTCAAAAAGTACATGATCAATTGTTTCCTCACTTGCCCCACATCTTGCACAAGGTATATCTCCTTAAAACTCTCGTGCTTGTAAATTTTTTTTGTTACTGCTTTTTTCCAGCAGTGAGCTTTCAAAGCTTCCACCGAGGGTCCATATTCTGAATGAATATTTTCTTTGTTCGGGTAAACTCTTTCCACCTGATATCCAGATTATACCATGTACCTCCCATTCTTAATGAAGTCCCCTCCATCTCTGACTGGTACAATAGTTCTGCTCAGAGATATACTTTCAATAAGTTTTTCATCTTGGGGGTCTATTAAATACCCAATGGCCTACATATTCCATTTTCGTGAAGTCGTGTTGATGAGGGAATCCACAGTAAAGTCAGGAAAAAGTTGTGGTTTTGTTGATTTCTATTTGTTGGTTTTTTTTATTTCTATTTGCTGGTCTCGGGCGAGTGTTTGGAAGCTATGGATCGTTCTATAAAAAGACGGAGATCCTAATCCCACCCTTTTGATTAGTCATTAAGTCATGGTATATTAGTGTTTTTACTACTATTTACTATACTATAGAAGCTTTTAAGCATAGTTATGAGATCAGGAGAGAATTGGAAGAAGCACGCGATTCAGACTCGATCACGAGGTCGACACAGAGAGACCCGGATCGATCGACATGCATCCTGCATGATCGATCGATTATCAAGACCCAGAAGCTAATTCGAGAGACAAGTTTACTTGAAGCCCAATCATCACCAAATGACAGTTTTACCCCTGACGAGTTTTAACCTAATATTATATATTTTGCCAAAGTGTTAGAGGCAAAAAGGGGGGATTGAAGAGGAGACTTATCTGAGAGGATTTTAGAGAGCTTTTTGTATTCTTTTCACAGCGAAAGTTTTAGGATTTTTAGTTAGGAGAGAAGATCTTCAGAGAGATTTGAGATTGAAACTCCGATGCTTTCTACCTATCTATTTATTTATAATATGCAGTTTGATCTATTTACTTGTATTATGAACTGTTTGGCTATGTCTGAGTAGTTTACTTGTTAGATTTAGGGTTTAAATAGGTTAGTGGAATTAGCCCCAACTATAGGATTGCTATTTGTGATACTTATTGATAAGATTGTTTTAATTGCTCATGTTTCTAGAGTAGCTAACTAGAAACATTGAATCTTGGATTATTTAGGTTAGATTAGAGATATTTAAGTGATTCAAAATATCCTGAACACATCTTTATCAAGCTAGGATTTGTTAGAAATATAATTGCATAATTTGATTTTGAAATCTTTAGTGAGTAACTCGTGTGCATTGCTTGACCAGAGTCATGATCGATATTCCTATAAGAAATGGGTCGATTATGAGTTAGTGTATCGGTCGATTATCCCATAAATAATCGCTCAACACTGTCAATCGCGGACATCTGGTCATTAGACTTATAGTTCAACAGAATAATTAATACACTATAGCATCTCGCAAGCAACTAGATAGCATCCTATAGAATTATAATCCTAAAAACCTGAATAAAAACCCTAAGTCTAGCATTTTTTCCATATTTGTTTAAGAAGTCTAAATTTATATTTTCGATTAAGTAATTATCGTGCTTAATGGGAATATTTCTTTTATTGCTTATTACTGTTTTTACTATTTATACATTCACCTAGAGTTGCATTCAACTAGATTTATAAGATTTCTTAGCTCCTTGTGGATTCGATCCCTAAGTACTACAGCTGAACCTCTTATTTGAGAGAATAAAGTAGTTCAATCCTTAGGGTAATTTGAGTGATATCAAATTTGGTGCCGTTGCCGGGGAGCTTAGGTAGTCTTTAGATTTAGTTTTTCAATTCTACGTTTATCTTGTTTGTTTTTGTTTTTCTCTATTCATCTTCTGATAAATTTTATTTTTCTTGATTTCTTTTTAGGTGCATGCATAGCATAACCAGAAGCAGCAAGAAAAAACAGCTTTTATTTTCAGAAGATCCGGCTAGCTTGGAACGTTTAATCCGCAAAGACCAACATTCCGCATCGATCGACGCTACATTGCCTTCATCGACCGATTCTCATCAAACCTCAGCCGATCTCGTTTCATCATCGATCGACACAAACCACACTTCGTCTACCGATTCTGATCACTTGACATCGACCGACACCAGTCTCCGTACATCGATCGATTCTCAGCATCGAGACATGGTTGCGCCTTTGATTCTTACCGCTCACGCGAATGGAAGCATGTATGACCAGGAGGGTCATCTGCGTAATCCAACAGATCAGAAACTGGATACTCAGGGTAACATTATCCCTGAACCTGAGGAAGATACTCAACCTAAGACCTTGGCAGACTACAACCGTCCAGATCAGAACTACGCCAATAGGTCAGCTATTCGTCTCCCAGACGTCCAGAGAGAGAATTTCGAGTTGAAGCCTCAGTACTACACACTTGTGGCATAGGTACCCTACTGTAGGATTCCACATGAGCGTCCTATCGACCATCTTGAGAGGTTCGAGGATCTCATTGCTGCTATCAGATTTAAAGGAGTCCCTAA